AAGAGCGTCTATTTTTATATAGGTACTAGTATGTGAGTTTTATAGAGAAAATTAATAAAAGTTCTATACAGTAATCTAAGCCAGATAAGTTCATCACTAAATATAAAATTTAAGAACCTATAAAATTACTGATAAGAATTCTATTGATATATTTCTAGAAGTCAATACAATCCATTATAAGTTTAGACAATCTATTCAAAATTTAATAGAAAAATAAAATATTTTTGAGGTTTACCAATAAAAATTGATTGAAAACTTCATCGTAATTAATGCTGAAACTCTAGAAGCAATAGTAAAAGATGATTATCTAAAATATCATTTTGTTGTGCTGTTTTATTTTTCATAAGGTGTTGGAGCTTACTAATTAGATGAGAAATAAAAAGGGAAACTTTTAAAATTGATTACAATTACTGAAAGATATATTGCATCTATTGGTGCTGGATTAGACAATTAATATTTCTTTTACAAATCTAATTATTCTTTTAATTTATATGATAAAGATCCACAATGTGCACTTTCTAACCCAAATTTTTTAATTTCTAAGACTGATTAAATGCTTAAATTGCTATTTTATTATTGCCCAGCTACCTACTTAAATTATGAATCTGTCATTTTAATCTAGATTTATCGATGCTTTTTATTTGGCTTTTTCTCTTATATGATAGATTATTAAAATCAATTTTATGCTTTAGAAGAATTAATTTTCTTTGTATTAGTTCCAAGCAATTTTGTTACATGTATTCTTAATTATGAAAATTTTCTGCATTAAAAATCATTTGACAAAAATTAATTTGAAATATATCGAAAGAGACTGGAGTTGATAAAATAAAGTAATATTTATGTCAAAATAATCAAAATAATCTTTATAGCTTTACTAGATTCAATTTTAGTTTAAATTTGTTTTAATATATTTGATATATTCTAAAATTAAGAACTCACAGATTATTCTGTTTTTATGTTCATCAATTTTGAATTAATGGAAAAGTCAAAATACATTATGACTCAGTTCAACTCATACTATGATTTAGGTAGGATGCTAAAACTAATATTCTCTTACATAATATTATTATCTTTGTTAGTATTAATATATGGTCTTGTGATCACAGATATTGTATACTAATTATCAAGCTTAAATTTTATATTTTGGGTATTTGGACTCATATTTGCTCTATCAATCTCATTTATATAGTAAGAAGTGTTAATACTTACTGAATTTAGCTTCCCATGTCCAAATGATATTCAATTTCACATCGAAAATCGTAATTAGATAGAAAAGTTAAGCTAATCTTTGAAATATTTAAACCAATAATAATCAAATGAGCCAAAATTGTTTATTGAGAAATTATTTGAGGGAAAAGACTTTATGGACGAATAACTTCTTAAAAAGATTAAGGGAGATTAATAAATGACTGATTAAATGGAAAAAGACTTAAAATTTACAGATAAGAGAACAGAAAAGGATTTTCTTAATTGGCTCAAACCTTAAAATATATATATTTATTACATTTATGAATTAACTATATTTGGAATAAGAATCTATTAATAAATCACTAATCTTTAAATAGCTTATTTTGTTATCTCTATTATTTAATTTGTAGTGATGAGTTTACTCCCTTTAATACACATATCTAAATTTAAACCCTTAGTTTAGATAGGTTTAAGATTTGCATTTTTTATAGTGTTACATATCTTATTAGATACCTAAATTAATGAAACTCTAATGTTTCTGATTGCAATTACCCTGACACATCACCCATTATTAGGGATATATGGATATTATTGTGTGTGCTTTATTACAACTATATTAGATATGCTAATGGTGGGAATCTTTACTTATACTGATCCATATCTCATTCTAAATCATGGTTTAATTTTAATTGAAGTTTGTCTTCCACTAATGTTTTAAGTTTATAAAACAGAATTCTTATAAAGGTATTAATATGTCCTTTAAAACAAATTGTTGGATGAATATAAAAAGCTTAACGATGCTTTAGGTTTGCTGATGCCACGTTTTATTAAAGAAAGAATGTCAAAAGGATAGATATAAATATCAGAAGATCAAGGAGATGTTGCAATTTTATTTTGTGATATTTACGATTTTGATGACATTATCAGAAATGAATAAATCAAAGTTGTTGAATTTTTAGACAATTTATATCGTTAATTTGATTAATTCTGTTAAGCAAATGAATTATAAAAGATTGAAACCGTTGGTAAAACCTATATGGCAGCAGGTGGATTAAAAGACTATAACATTTCTGATAATTTAAATCCTACAGAAAGAATTTTAGATACAGCCCTTTAAATGCAAGAAAGTGTTAAAACTATGAAATATGGAGACAACAAGGCTGTCATTCTCAAAATTGGTATTCACTATGGAAGAGTCATAGCAGGTGTGATCGGGGCTCATAAACCGTAATTTTCATTGATAGGGGATACTGTAAATACAACTAGTAGAGTTTGCTCAACATCAGAACCAGGAATTGTAACTCTTAGCTAATAAGCTTATGAAAAAGTCTCTAACAAGAAATATTAATTTAAATTAAGGGAAGTGGAGGCTAAAGGCAAAGGAACTATTAAAACTTATTAGTTTATTAAAGGCGACAAAAAATAATAATAAGCAATTTTAAAAGTTGCTGATAATATATCAAAATCTCCTAATCCTCATTTATAAAATTAAATGATCAAAAAAATATCTGAAAATTTGAAGAACAAATAACAAACCATTCTAAAAAAAGTATCGATGAATGAAGAAAAATAAGATATTGCCCCAGTAACAATTTAAAATACAAATATGAATGTAAATACCAAATTAATATAACTTTCATCTCCATAATCTATACAACCAATGATTAGAGCTTAATCTAGATCAGTATTTAATTCTTCATATTAAATGGCTTTACTTGTGCCTAATGAATAGGATTAAGATAATAATAATAACAATAACATAAATAACAATAACATCAATAATAATAACAACAATAATAATAACAATAATATTAGCAATAACAATAATAATAACAATAATAATAACAATAATAATAATAATAACAATAATAATAATAAATAAGAAGAAAAGGAAAAATTTAATCTCAATAATATATAAGGTGATGGCTTAAAATCTAGCATGCCTCTAGGGGGGGCTGCAGCAGGTTAATATTCAAAAAGAGTATCAAATTTAGCATTTGAATTAAATCCAATAAAATCAAGAAAATCTGTTTACAGGAGAGCAGGTACCAAAACAAATTTACCTGAATAAGATTAAATTTTAGGAATGGGTACTAGTGGTTAAAAATTGGCAGAAAGCGTAAGGGCTGATTTGCCTGTGAAAAGAAAGAGAACTAGAATATTAGCTGAAAAATAAATGGATTTTATAGATAGAATAGAATCTTTATCTGTCTCGCAAAACACCAAAGGAATTGAAGCAGGAATCTCTTATGGATGAATAAAAGAT